TATATATATACATACATATATATATATATTATATATATATTATATATATATACATATATATATATATATATATATATATATATATATATATATATTATATATCAAAAAAGATCAGGTCCAGCCCTCCCCGGTCCAGCCGCCGTCCGAACTCCGCCGTTTGGGGCGGTTCCCGGTGGAATTTTTTGATGAAATTTTTTGAGCATGTTCTTCATCAAGTCTAGTTTGTCCATACCAAATTTCAGCTCAAAATTCGATCGGGAAGGTTGTCAAATGATTTTTGCAAGTTAACTGGTCTGGAAAATACATATTCCGGACCAGTTAACTTGCAAAAATCATTTGACGACCTTCCCGATCGAATTTTGAGCTGAAATTTGGTATGGACAAACTAGACTTGATGAAGAACATGCTCAAAAAATTTCATCAAAAAATTCCACCGGGAACCGCCCCAAACGGCGGAGTTCGGACGGCGCTTCCCGTCCCTCCGGCTGGACCTGATCACTTCTCTATTATATATATATATATGTATATATATATGTATATATATGTATATATATGTATATAGAGCACTCTTCCGGTCAGGAATTCCTGACCGGAACCGCCGTCCAGACGGCGGCGTTTGGCCGCCTTCCGGGTAGAATTTTTCAATGAAATTTTTATGACATGTTCTCCATCAAGTCTAGTTTATCCACAAAAAAATTCAGCCAAAAACTCATTCGGGAAGGTCATCAAATGATTTTTGCAAGTTAACCAGTTAACTTGCAAAAATCATTTGACGACCTTCCCGATTGAGTTTTTGGCTGAATTTTTTTGTGGATAAACTAGACTTGATGAAGAACATTCCATAAAAATTTCATCAAAAAATTCCACCGGGAAGGCGGCCAAACGCCGCCGTCCGGACGGTGGTTCTTGTCCGGAATTCCGGACATGAACTTTTGTCTATGTATATATATATATATATATATATATATATATATATATATATATATATATATATATATATATATGTATGTATATATATATATATATATATAGAGAGAGAGAGAGAGAGGACTGCTCAGGTCCCTCCGGAGGGACGGGAGGGACCGTCCGAACTTTACTGTTTGGGGCGGTTCCCGGTGTAATTTTTTGATGAAATTTTTTGAGCATGTTACTCATCAAGTCTAGTTTGTCCATACCAAATTTCAGCTCAAAATTCGACCGGGAAGGCAGTCAAATAAATTCTTGAAACTTACTGCACTTTATATATGCGCAGAATGTGCAGTAAGCTTCAAGAATTTATTTGACTGCCTTCCCAGTCGAATTTTGAGCTGAAATTTGGTATGGACAAACTAGACTTGATGAGGAACATGCTCAAAAAATTTCATCAAACAATTCCACCGGGAACCGCCCCAAACAGTAAAGTTCGGACGGTCCCTCCCGTCCCTCCGGAGGGACCTGATCTTTTCTGTATGTATATATATATATATATATATATATATATATATATATATATATATATATATATATATATATATATATATATATATATATATATATATATATATATATATATATATATATATATATATATTAAATGTAGCGGGCCGGGCTTATGGGTAAATATATATGCCCAAGCCCGCCCATTTGTGCGGGCCGGTTGGGCGGGATGGGCGGGCCGGCCCGGTTTTGCGCAGGTCTAAAAGTAACTTACACTTCATATGTAGTAAAGTACTCCGTACTACGTATTAGCCACACGTACTTTTATGGTGTGGACTTTAAATATGGAATATTACACTTTTATTACTCCGGAAATTGAAAATAAGTGGCAACCAGTAGATATCGATTTGGCAATAACATATGTTGGTGGGTAGTAATATACGGTAAATATGTGTTTTACATATATAGCAATTTATTACCGTAGTGGCGACATTATGGTGTAACAATAAAGCAATTTACAATTTACATTATACAATAAAGATATACAAACATTTTTAACTTAACGTTTTTCTCAAGGAAAACATTTAAATAATTTTTTAAATATTTATTAAATAAATTTCAAAGAGATTTACTATATAAACAAGTTATTTGGATTTTTTTTAAGACTATGAATTTTAAGAGCATCTTCATTTATGTCTTTTAAATAAATTGTTTTTCTCTTCCACATTATTATCACATCATATCTATTCAATAAATTTTATATAATCTTAAGGGAAAACTGTCAATTTGGTCCTCGTACTTTCATGAAAAAATCAATTAGGTCCTCATACTTTTAAAAAGATCAATCAAGTCCCCGAACTTTGTAAAAACGTTCAATTGAGTCCATTTGCAGTTTACTTTCCATAAACAAATGCCTGATTGGGCTTCCACATGTGTGCCACGTCATCAAAATTATTGCTGATTGGGCTGCCACATGCGCCCCACATCAGCAGGCGACCTGCTTACATGGCAAGTAACCTTCAAATGGACTCAATTGAACGTTTTTCCAAAGTTCAGGGACTTGATTGATCTTTTTAAAAGTATAAGGGCCTAATTGACTTTTTCATGAAAGTACGGGGACCAAATTGACAGTTTTCCCTAATCTTAAAGTTCATAACTCTTCATGATAACTCAACTAATTAGTTTTCTAAGATATGCATTAAATATATTCTAACTATAATCTAAAATAATTAAGATTTGAATCTTGATATCGAATTTTCTTTTTCAACATTCTTCCTAAATAATTCTTCTTTAGAAAGATAGTTTTTGCAATAATCTTACATATCATCCACTTTTATGAAGTAGTAGTCAATTCATATAATTTTCAACGCAATTTTTGTCATGAGTCATCTGAAATCGGTTTCTCTATCCTTTTGTATAGGGGTAGGAATGTGCACATTCGAATCCGTATCTTACCATAGGTTGGAGTCTTTACAACACTAGGATAATGTTTTTGTTCTTGTTGTATCATCCAGTTCATATTGAAATAAACAAATGAATGGGATGCCTAACAGTTGGAATGTATTCAATGCAAATTTCTAAAAAATAGTTGGAGTGTATCAGTCATAGACCGTCCCAAAAAAACTTGTAAAAGAGAAAGCGCTAAGGCATCCAAACTCCAAATACACTGTTTCAGCAACAAAAGAATAAAAGGTAGTGTGCCAAGTACCGTGTGGTCTGATGACATTGTTGTGACACTCCCAAGGAGAAGGTTACACGTTCAAATTTTATCCCAGTTCAAGAATGTTGGCGTTAACATTGAGTAGATACTATATAGGTTAGAAAGAATTGTCCAAAAAAAGAATAAAAGGTAGTGACTTGCAAAAAGCTAAAAAATGCATTAACAATAAATAATAGTTTTTGGACCACTAAGTGAGGGTATCCAAAAAAATCATTGTGTAAGAAGTCCCTTAGCATTGATAAAACTCCTATAAAAAAGTATTGATAAAACTCCAAGTTAGATAGATATATGTAAGGTTGTTGTATAAGAGTACACCACATTCCCGGTTTTGTTATCTTCATGAAAGATGTCCTACTCACTATAAAGTTTTATAACCACCACAGGTTTCCTAGTGAATAAAAACCTTTATACTGGTTGTTAACTGCCAATACTCCCAATCAAATAAGCCAAACAAGTAACAATCCATAGAGTTCAATGTGGAAGAAGTTGGCCTCTTTTAGATGAAAACCTCACATTTCATAAGGGAGAATGGAGAAATTCTTCTCCTCTATTCATTATATTGTGAGCAAAATAAGGGCATAGAATCACATACACCCATTCTCATAAGTATGTACAGAGTATTATGTATAATCTCTCCAAAAGAAGTCCTGCGGCCTGGGCTATAAGGAATTATTTGATTTCCACTAATCCAGACTACATTTGATAATATATCAACAATCCTTTGACCAAATATCAACAATACTCTTAATTCATAAGGATTTCACTGCCCCCAATCCCCCAGTCATCTACTAGGCAAAAAACTCCGTCAGAACTGCAAATATAAAAGCAGATTCGTTTCGATATTATAGGACACTCCAAAAATAAAGGACATATGAATTTAGATATTAGAGTTTAGAACATGGTTATAATATACATGGTTATAAGGACGAATCCGACAACGGATGTCATATTTGTCTTTTTGGTAAGAAATTTGTGATCCATATCTAGGGATGGACCCGAGCCGGGCCGGTTCCGGTTCCAAGCCGGGCCCGGGCGGGCTTTTTTTCCAATTACATGGGCCCGGAACCGGCCCGGGTTGATACCGGGTCCGGGCCTAACCAGGCCGGGCCCGGTTCAATGTTTTATTTTTTTTTTTTGCTTTCTTGTTATCCCCCCCCCTCACCCCCACCCCCCCAAACCTCCCCAAAACACCCAGACCTACCCTAGGAAAAGAAAAAAATTGAAAAAAAAAATGAACCGGGCCCGACCCGAACCGCCCAGGCTGGTTCAACAAAAATAGGGCCCGAGCCCGGCCCGCCCGACCCGCCCACACGGGCTAAAAGCCCGGAACCGGCCAACTGGACCCGGTCCGATCCGGGCCCGCACAGTAGCGGGCCGGTCCGGTTCCGGGCCGGTTCGGCCCGCCCAGTCCACCCCTATCCATATCATTTTAGACATGGGCCGGGCCGGTCCCCGAGCTTCTTCAAATTTTTTTTTTGCTTTTCTAATTAACCCCCGACCCCCCCCACCCCCCACCTCCCCGCCCAAAACACCCAGCCCAACCCGAGAAAACAAAAAAAAAGATTGAAAAAACAAAAACAAAAAAGGCCCAAACCGGGCCCGACCGGGCCAGGTCCTATTTTTGATGACCCAAGCCCGCCCTGTATAACCTCCGGGCCGGGCCTGCCCAAACCGGTCTCTGGCCGGGCCATCGGGCCGGGCCGGTTCCAAACAATGCCGGGCCACGACTCAAATCTCAACCACAACTTTTACTTTTTAACCACTTTATTAATAACCGTGTCAAATTGAAATGAGAACCATTATGGGACGGAGATAGTAGTTCTTTGCACCAAACTCTAGATCGTTAAGACCATTCTTTGCACAGCGAGCTCAAATGCAATTGTAATAAGCAACTGTTTTATGTAAATAATAATGCCTTGTGAAATGTGAGATATAAAAATTATACTTAATAATTACAACCAGGTTAACAATAAAATCACAAAATAACCTTAAATCAGTTATTTTACCCAATTGAGATGGTTTGCATAACATATAAAATAAATTCTCCCATGCTCAAGGTATTGATAGACACCTTAATCCATGCAAGATCTTAAGACTGTCGAGAGAGAAAAAGTAAACATTCTTTATCCAACTTTTTAACTAAACATATGACAGGGAAAGCTTGCCCCATATACACCCTTGTGGTGGGACCCTTCCACGGACACTCACTTTGCGGGATGCCTTCGTGCACCGGGCTGCCCCCATAAACAAGCCAAGTTTCAAGTTTAGTCCTAAATAAATTAAACTGGATGGCAAAATAGAATAGATAGTTCAAGTGTTTTTAATTATGTATGGAAGCTACTAAAAATAACACTTCTCTACACACTTAGAAATTGAAATACACATATTTTCAACTTTAAAGGAAACAAAATGATGGTCAGGTTTTGGAAATCTATCCAACTATAAGTCAGACCACCACATAGTGTCAACTATCAACCCCCACTTGTGGAGCCTAATGTGTGTATGATATAACCACACAAGTAGTCTTAATGCATATTCATTACGTTACCTTTCCAGCACATACTAACTCAATGGAACTACTACCATGTTACAAGTAGCTGGATTTTCTCATGGGGGCCAAAGATATATTTTTTTTGGGGCCAAAGATATATGCTGTGTGCTTATCCATCTTTTGAGCTACTCGACCCCTGATTTTGCTGCCACCAGAAACCTTTTTAAAGCATATAAGTTTATCAATTTTCTTTCTGACATGTTCTTCCTTTAGCTTAAAACTTTAAAGAGAATTGCACAAGTATCTTTATTCCAAACCTTTAACTGTTTCCTAGGCCTTCTCATGTTAACTGTTTCCTAACACAAACATATCCCTTTGGTTCCTGTTTGGCACAAAAAGTATTTTTACTCAATAACAACGTTTAGAAATGTAACATATTGAAATTCAAAGCACAGAAGTTGTTTGGTTAGTAATGATACACAAAAGTATAATTACCTTTCAGGCAGAAACAACACATCGTGAATGCATGAGTGCAAGGAATGAGAAGAGAATGTCCCTACAATTAGAAAACATTGATGAACACTTAACTTGGAGCTAAAATCTTATAGATGGGGGTTTTTTCAAGTGCAAAAAGTGGCAAAAGACATGGTTTCAGTATCAAATGCTAAAAATAATGCATTCCCTATCATGTAGGATTATGAAGGTTTTACCCTGACCCTACCCAATCCCTGCATAACTAATGCTTATTTATTTCAAAAACTTGTACTTTTTGGTGATTTTCTGAACTATTAACATTGAAAGCATGTTATGAATTGAACCACAAGGCCATTAAAGGAAGCTTCCTTCGCTAAAACCATTTCAATGACAACGCATTCAGTTAACATAATAACAGTTGCTATTATAGTTGCTGAAGGCATGAGGTCTAAGCATTTACATTGATGAAATCAATGACAAGGCATTCAGTTAACATAATTATATGGGGTATTAATGACGAAGGAGATGAGCAGAGCTGGGCACAAAACAGAGAAATGGAATGGAAACATACCTGGACGGTTGGCGCGAGAAGACGGAAAAAAATGGGAGCCAGCTCGGTGAGGTTAGAGCACAGATGAGGCCACCTGCGTGATACCAGGGTTAGAGGCCGTTGCGAGACAAAAGAAGCGGGAGGGTGTTGAAGCTGAGATAACAAATGCTGGAATAGACGAGAGTCAAGAGATGGAAATTAAACGCAAAAATAAATTCCTTTAAAAGAGTGCACATGTTAAAACAGCGTACCACCTCATAAAGCTAGATGATTACACCAACATTTTTTCATCCCTAAAATGCCCTAGCCCTCATTGACAATTATACGATTTTAAGATTATAATGCGGTTAACAACATGTGCAACATACTTCCAAGGAGCTGAATGCTAAGAACAGAAGGATTCAAGAAGACCTTAAATTGCCTTCTAATAGAGAATGCGCAGAATACAAAGTAGAAGATCAATGATTGCCTAGCAGGAAACAACTCCGATCTTTTATACAATTAAAAGAAAAATGTCCACACACCATGCACAAAATTTCAAAATGTAAACTTGATAGAATCTCCAATACTGTAACAGTAAATTGAACAGTAAATTGAACAGTAATATTGCGGTAAAAGGCAGAAACAAAGAAGACGATACAAATGAGGCACTTCGAGAGGCACTCAACTCTCCAGAACCCAAATTCCCAAATCTAAAATCAGCCTATTTCATTCCTCCCCTCCTTCCCTCTCTTATAGTACTTCTATTCTAACGGGCCAGCCCATATTATATATATGACATGGCCCAGAATACTTATTTATACAATACCATGCTTATTTAATATCAATCTATCACTATTATTATTATTATTATTCTCTACAGCCCAGGGCCCTATCATATCTCCCCCCTTGAAAAACAACCTTGTCCTCAAGGTGGGTGATAGGACACAACCTTGATCTTGAACTTCATCTTCATCCTGGAGCCTCTTCCTTCCCAATATCTCTCGGATTTCTGAACCAGGAGTTTCTGTACTTCATCCCCCCACCTCACAAATGTTTCTGCAGCCAAAGATAAGTCTAGTGAAGTCGCAGTCTCTTCAGTGGCTTTAAAGCACTCAATAACGACAAAGGTTTCTTTGTGCTGTGCTTCTCCATGTGCAGCAGTTATATGTTTTGATATGCACCCTCCAATTACACATGGATATGCCCTCTTCACCACTTTGAATTCAGGATCCCATACATTTTCAGCTCCTTCAAGTAATCCTAAAGCTCGTATCACCAATACTAACACTTCTAGAGCCTCAGAGCTGCCTTGAAAGTCGCTCGTAGCATCTTGCTGTAGTAGCTCATAGTGTGGTTGATGAGTGATGAAATTAAGCGCTTGATATGTGGCTGATCGACACCAGAGTCTGTATGAGTTAAAAACTGTGACAGTACTTGACAAGCATTTACTTTTACACGAGGAGGCACATACATGCCGATTACCCTAACTGCTGCATACACATATTGCTCATTAACCATTGTTGTTATGTCTTCTACACGTATTTTTTCCCAAATATTTCCTACAGTAGCTCCACGATTTCCAGAAAACTTTGTGAAAAAAGTAGTGCCTGGTATTCTCCACCCAACTGAGGATCCCGCAAACTTCTCCTGCCATGACTCCATAAGCCTTTTTGCTTCCACTTTAGCAAAGAATTGATTGGTATTCATCAACCAGATCCTGGTGTGGGCCTGCTGCTTTCTTAACTGCAGAAAAACTATGACACCATACCGCAACTCCTCCAGACTATGCATCATTACCTTTACACGCTTCTTGCTATCCAAAATTGCCAACAAGAACTTAGACAGATAGCCTGAAGGTATTATCTATTTCCAGCTACGAAAAAGAGTACCAGAGTGCAAGGAATTCCTGGATGCATGATCAGCTAGAGTCCAAAGAGACACCGCACACTCAGTTAACTCATAAAATCTTCCAACCAATGTGTTGAAAACCTTCAAGTACTTGACGTTTGTATTCTGTTTTCTCTTCCAACCTTGCCTGGAGATTTCACCTGACTGGTATTCCAGAGAAAACTCATCAGCCCATATGAGTCCAGAATTGCAAGAGTCCCGAATTGCAGAGAGTATCAAACTGCAGTTCCTTATGGGCACCCTATCCTTGTCTTCTGAATGATTGATAACATCATCTGCACCCAAAGGAGCTTGGCCTTGTCCTTCTATATCAGTCACCATTTTCTTTCTCCATCTGCTGTTAGCAAGTTGTGGATCACTATCTCCCCTTTCGAGTAATATATCTGTTCCCCCCCAATTTCAGCAAAGAAAAATTCTGACAGATAATTACACCCTGCATAGAAACTGGCCACCACAAGGCATCTCCAATTAAAACTACAAAGTCAGCTTCAGCATCGATTTTGACTATGGATTTGGTTAATTCTTCCCTATCCACGCTTTCAGAAATTCTATCTGCTGCCGCAATAATCTCTTCACATTGATTGATCTTATTCCATGCTATCATCATTCCAGGATCAATGTAAGCAAGAGTTCCATCCTTAACAGCAAACTTGGGAGGTTTCATATCTCCACTACACAAGTAAAATGCCTGTCCCATGCCTACAGCTTGATCACAGCTCAAACTATTAAACTTGTTCAGTCCTTCCCAATTAATGTTTGATGAATGATGGTACACCATTGCAGACCTGTTGGTTTCCCGGTCTGGCTTGACGAACTCGTACTTGGAGAAGGTTTCAGGTCCAGCTATTGCACCAGCTTCAGGCCCAACAATCACCAATACTGGTTCCTCGAGTTCATTTTCGCCTTCAGTGAACTTGTCTGCCTTTTCTCCAAACTGCGAAGCACTCCTATCATTCGAGGAAGGTTGCCGCAGTTTAACAGACCCCAAACTGAGTGGTGAAGCTCGCGAAGTGTGAGAAACGGCTAGAGTTGATGAACTGTGAGATGCGGCCAGCGATTCAGAAGAAACCTGTGAAGTAGGAGAAATAAAGGACGATGCTGACTGCGACGATTTCTGCGAACTACTGCGAGAAACGACGTGCGATTGCGAAGAAGTTCGCGATTGCGAGCTGGGAGCTGCTATGCGCGATGCAGTCTGCGAACAGGGGGTATTCATTCGCGACTGCGAACCAGAAGAAATCAGTCGCGACTTCTTTTCCGATGCTGAGTCCGTTTCCGATGATCGTCGGCTCCTGACTGTCCGCGATCGATCTCTAGATCGCCTGCGATAAAACTGACGAAAACTATCTTGCAACCTGTCCATGTTAGTCCACATCTCCTCCATCTTTGCTTCCATTCGCAGCAATGCTTCTTTCCTCGCTGCATAACTACGTTCAACGGCCTCCAATCGCTGTTCCATCTTGGCTTTTGTCCGCAACATTCACAGCTTGAAACGAAAAATTTCTGATGATGAAACGAGAAATCAGGTCACCAGAAACGATTCTCTGATACCAATGATAGAATCTACAATTCTGTAACAGTAAATTGAACAGTAATATTGCGGTAAAAGGCAGAAACGAAGAAGACGATACACATGAGGCACTTCGAGAGGCACTCAACTCTCCAGAACCCAAATTCCCAAATCTAAAATCAGCCTATTTCATTCCTCCCCTCCTTCCCTCTCTTATAGTACTTCTATTCTAACGGGCCAGCCCATATTATATGACATGGCCCAGAATACTTATTTATACAATACCATGCTTATTTAATATCAATCTATCACTATTATTATTATTATTCTCTACATCCCAGGGCCCTATCAAAACTCTAACTCCTAGAGTTTGTATATGCTAGCTAAACGACCAGAAAATTCAACTTCTCAATAAACACCACAAAATGATAAAAACTGGAGCCAGATGCAGTATGTCATTTTAATATGCTTTGTTTATGAACCTAATTATCTACTGTATATGTTGGGAGTTAAATCCGACATGCTATTAGGCTCTTAATAAATGATTCATAGCACACATTCCTAATACTAACTGTAGGACATCCCGGACTACAACACTCCATATAAGCATGATATGCTGGGGAGAACAGTTTTCACCTCAATATTGTGAATGTGAGTAAATAAAGCAGAACAAAAAATGAATAAAACATGGGGAAATGAGTGTACGCCGTACCTAGAAAAGATTGATCAATAGCCGGGAAAAATACTGCCATCTGAACAATCTCTATTTATAAGGTGAGAGTGTCTTTTTTATTTCCATAACTTGCGCTGCAAAGGAGAACGATCTGTTTGCAGGAGTTTATGAAATTTATTTACCATCTTAAATGCTATAATCATGACCAACTTAACAAAGTTGGCATGTACTAAAAACTTAAGAGCAAAGCACTAAGACGCAGTCACATAGAACATAACAAACCACAACTGAATGCCTTCCAGTCATTAAAGTTGAGTTTTATACTTTTATTTCGAAATACAATGCCCTAAGAAACTATCTTAGTAAATAAATATAATCTAAAAGGAGTGAAAGGCTATTTAGTGTCAAAAGAAAAGTTAAAATAATAAAGCTTTCTTCCATGTTTCAGGATTTTGTTAGTTTCACACAATATCCTTATTTAAAAAATGAGAGATCATAAGTTACTTTTGTCTTAACTCATATCACTCATCACTTGTACAAAAAAGTTGCTACTTTTTACTTCCATTAAGCTTACGGATGCTGAAAAGTAAAAAAATCATCATAATATGATAGTATGACACTCAAATGGATGCCATTTACAGAGTTTTAAAATCAATATATCAAGACCTAAAAAAGATGGTGAGATCATTTCAGTTATTAGGTTTTATAGTTTGTTATTAGTCTTCACCTGATCCAAATGTTTCTTATCTGAATTTTTTAAGTTCTGATCTGAATTTTTCTGATCTGATCTGAATCTTTCTCATCTGGTCTGATCTGAATCTTTCTGATCTGATCTGAATGTTCCTGATCTGATCTGAATGTTTCTGATCTGATCTGAATGTTTCTGATCTGATCTGAATCCTTCTGATCTGATCTGAATCTTTCTGATCTGATTTGAATATTTCTAAATTTATAATTGTAATTATAATTTTAATTACTATAATTATAAATGTAATTACACATATATAATTTAAATATAATTATAATTATAATCATAATTATGAAAAAATTATAATTATAGATATAATCATAATTATAATAGGTATAATTATTATTATATGTATTACACTAGTTTTAAATATAGCTATAATTATAATTGTAATTATATTTTAAGTTATATTTATTTCTATAATTATAATTTTAATTATAATTATTATATTTATTTCTATAATTTTAATTGTAATTACTCCATATAATATAGTAATAACAAAAACAAAACTAATAACAATAACAACAACAACCATAATAGTAATAAGAATAATAATAATCATGATAAAAATAAATATCATAATAATAATCATAATAATAATAGTCATAGTAATCATAGTAATAATAAAAATACTAATAATAATAATAATATCAATAATAATAGTAATTATAATAATAATTACAATAACAACCACAAAAACAATAATAACAATAATAATAATAACAATAATAACAATAGTAACAATAATAACAATAATAACAATAATAACAACAACAACAACAACAACAATAATAATAATAATAATAATAAATATTATTATAATTATTATTATAATAAAAGGGATAAATCATATCTGAACTTTTCTGATCTGATCTGAATGTTCCTGATCTGATCTGATCTTTTCTGGTCTGATCTGAATGTTCCTGATCTGATCTGAATCTTTCTGATCTGATCTGAATGATTGTGATCTGATCTGAATCTTTCTGATCTGATTTGATCTGAATTTTTCTGATCTGATCTGAATAAAATAAGAATAAGCAATAAGTAATAAGATGAACAGAACAACTTCTTACTTAAAGAAATGTGACGTGCTTATGCTTTTTGTTGGGTTTTCATTTATGAATAAGTTTTTTGGTTAATACAATTTTATACTTCTATCTTAAAAAAACAAAAAAAAACAAATATGACAACTGTAAGCAAAACCAGCCACAACTTTGATAATGAATTCATCCATCCTTCACCTCATAATTTAAATTCAAAAACATATAAGCCTTATAAAACAATCAATTTGTAGAGAGAAGGGAAAAATTATCATGAGTAGTGGAAGGCCAACCGAAGAGCTTCACGGTAGGATTTTACAAGCGTGAAGAGAGAGAAACCTTTGTGCTCCGGCATGTTAAAATATTTGGTGTCAATCCCTGGCTTTTCAATCCTCTAACACTGTGTTGAGTTGGTTTTGTTTTCTAAAGATTTGAATACAAATATTAACCACCAACTCTTAAGAAAAAGGTGCACTAGTATAAGAAATCGTAAGCATTGTTATGACCATGAAATATTATCATATTACCTACTCACCAACCACATTTAGCACGGGCACTAGACTGACATGATTCAAGCAAAAGTTCCCCGCACCTAAAAGGCACAACAGCACAAGAATGAGTACAACAAAAACATCCAAGCTTTATTCCCAATGTTAACATGGACCGATCCATAAAATCAAAGCCAAAAAGAGAAGAAAGATAAGAATAATAAAAAGATAAAGTAAGATAAAATTGATAAAATAAAGACAAATATAAGATAAAGAAACATAAGAACATAAGGAGACATAGAGTAGCAATCATGTCAGGCTGGCCTGCCTGATGCCAAGTCCATTTGGGGACTTTCCCAGTGGAATTTTTTGATAATTTTTTTGAGCATGTTTTTCATCAAGTATAGTTTATTCGCACCAAATTTCAGCTAAAAATTCAATCGACAAGTTCATATTACCTGCTAAAGAGCTTTTTATTCTACATTTGACTGACTTTCCACATGGAATTGAAAAACACTACGTTATTTATATAAAATTAAAACTACTCGCAAGTTCGAAATTGCGAGCGGTTTTACCGGATATTAACAGCTGTTCCAACAAAACAACTGCTAAATATATATGAAAGTAAAACACAAGTCTTTTCTTTGAAAAGGATCTCATACGGTTTCTTCTTATCCTAGAACTTGTTTAGCCTTACTTAAATAACAGACAAAAAATGCTACACAATACGCCTTTATTCCTATATAATTTTTCTACGCTGAACCCATGTCTGGCCATTGACCACCACGCCAAGTCACTGAAAAGAGGGCCAGTCAATGCACTGACAACCACCGCCAAGTCACTGAAAAGGGAGCAGTCAAAGCCACTGTCCTCCACCGCCAAGTCACTGAAAATGGGGCAGCCAACGCCACTGACCACCACCAGTCACCACTGGTTCAGTGACTACCAACTGACCCCCGGTCACTGACCATCGCCACAGGTTCACCAGCTAGGGTTAGTAACTAACTAACTAGTACTCTAGAAGTAGTGGCAGAATGCAGTGGTTAGTATGTTGTTAGTATGTTTTCCATCCTACAATGAACCAAAGTGGTAATGAGTGTAAGTGTTATATGGTAGAGGTTGAGGGTATATTCTGGCAGCGTCACCTCATTTAAGCCTCATAAGTTTTACACAGTACCCACCCAATATGTAGAAATATGCTAGTCCTATACACAGAACTCTACCACAGTACAACTCCATTGAGTAAAAAAAGTAAGACATGGTGGAGGGGGGAATTATGTTAAAATTAGTTTAGATTTAAGAGGGGGTGGTTTAGAAAACTACCTTGGTTGGTGAAGCATCATGCATGTATTTACTCCTGCAAGTGTTTTTCGGCAAAGAGCTTTATATAAGTAACAAGTGAGAAGAGTTGCTGTCAAAATCAGTAGTTGGTTCATCTAAAGTCATGAAGGATAGCTCCATAACTATTTTCATATCCCACATTCACTCGCCTCCTCTAGCCCCAGATATGCCTCGCTTCTCCATTGTCCCCACAAGAGAAACTTCAATCCAGAGGCTGCAATCACTCTCTCAACAACTAAAACCTTTTCTAGTTTCAAAATATCCAAAGGTAGATGTTATGACCTTAATATCACCCACAAAATACACACAGAGAACCCAATCCTGAGATACAATGTACTGAGGGAACAAATATATCCTCCATTGGACAAAACGCCTTCCTGCTTATGTGGACCCTTAAATTTTATCCCAGATCTAGGCCATATTTATCCACCAAACAATGAAACTGATCCCAGGACTTGTAGTCATTTCTGCGACGCAAAGCTCTGAGCATAACCAAATGAATTCTTTTGTCAACTGTGATGCCACTTGATAACATCATACCAAAAAAATATAGCATGCCTTGTATCAAATGGCGCTTACACAACCTATTAATAACAGCAGTGTAATCTCTTATTGAAACCTCATATCCTGTATCTATCATTTGCTCAAAAAGATCTATTGCTCTCTTTGCATCACCCTTTGCAGAATGTGCTTTTACAAGAGTGGTATAGGCTTGTTTTGATAAACACACATTCTGATCTTGAAGAAAGGTGAAAAATGTATCAACAACCCTTATATCCAAAAATATACATAGACCGGTAATTAGAATGTTGTAAGTTATATGATTAGGCTGGCTATTACTATTCCTTAACAACTCATTGTATAAACAAAAGGCAATCCTCATATCTCCTGCTTGGGCAAACCCACGTATAACAGTGTTGAAAGCAACTTCATCAGGTGAAAGGCCCTTACCAAATGTATCCTTTAATATCTGAACAGCTTCTTGAAGCCTCCCATAATTACAAAAAGATTTTAAAATCACTGTCCGAGTAACACAATTTGGTTCTATGCCTATTTCCTCCATTTCACTAAGCAGATCAAGCATTGCTTTTATATCCCCCTCTTCAACATATGCATTCATAAGAGTTGTGAAGGTTTGAACAGTTGGCATAAGACCACGTGCATAAATTTCATCAATCAACTTTCTTGCCTCTACTAGCTTCTTGACCTTACAGAATCCGTATATAAGAGAATTAAATGTCATAGTGTTTAGAGCGATTCCTCTCTCCAATAAAAGTCTGCATAGTTGGCCAACTTCTCTGACATCACCACACTTAACATATCTGTGGATCAACCACAGAACAATGTCATCTATCAAGCCATTTTGTGTCAACTCATCAAAAAATCTTCTTACAGCTTTTGTGTATTCACTTGGAGAAGCCTCAGAATCTTTTATTTCATTGTAGACATGCCACAGAGAATTAGAGTGCCTCAAATTGTATAGCAAATTGTTGTATGTCCTTATTGAAACTTCAACATTTAAATCTTTCATCTTAGATAGAACACATAGACAATCGACCACCATATCCGATCTCAAATAAGAAAAGGCTAGCATATTCCAAACCACATTACAAGAAACCCAATTTTCGAAGTTATTCTGAAGCAGCTCACAAAGTGAATATGCAGAACCAGATCCTGATGGAGATGATAACATATATAAACAGAGAGTGTGCAACATAGTGTGTCATTAAACCATAAAAATGGTGTTTCCATTCACCAGATACATATAAATTCAGTGTTTTTAATTTTAAAATACTCTTTTACAAGTTATAGAAACTCAATTATAAAGAAAAAATTGGTAGGACCTGAATTATATAGAACACTCAAACTTCGAAATGTATTTTCTGAAATTCAAAATATTCAAAAATGCAAGTGGGTTGAGATTAAGGAAAGTACAGACTCTTGAGATCGAATCAAGATAGGAAAGAAAAGTTGCATACTAAATTAATTTCATCCGCACCATGTTTTGCTCATTATACAGCCCCCAACTTCAATATTGAGTAACAGAAATATTTGTCCCTTTAACCAGATTCTGAATGCTTCCTAGGAGGACTTTATGGGTCATGAATTTCTAACCAGAACACAAATTTGAGATTAAAAATATACTCTCCCTCTAGTCTTATTATAGTTGCTTTGTATTACTCCATACTTTTTAAGAAGCTATTAAATATTTCCTCTGCTTTCCTAATTTGTCTAACATTGTCCTATCAAAATTCAAAAAAAAAAAACTTATTTTTTATTTTTCTTTATCTTGCTTGTTTTACTTCTCCAACTAGGCTCTCCTACTATTCACTACTACTTCAATTTTCTTCACAAAAACTGTAAACAACATACTCGAGTAGTTAATTAAAAGGGAGGTAGAGTGTCCTTAAGAATCAAAATGCAACTCAAAGTCTAAAACACAACAATGCACCTTCTTCATTAACCATTTCCTCTAAAAGGGACCTCATCTCCCTTAGTTGCCGCTTTCCCGCCAAAACATGAGCCACGATAAGCTGACAGCACACAGAGTGCTTGAAACCAAGCTCTTTAGCTAAGAAGAAGAAGTCTACAGCCAAGTGCGGCCTTTTGAGCCTCAACAATTCAACAATGCTCTCCACTTCAGATGCATTCACCCTCGATAGCAAGCCTCCAAATCTAGGGTCATGGCATAATTTCTCGACAGTGAGTCCCTTGGCAGAGAGACCGCTGAAAAGAAATAGTAATTTTCGGGCAGCTTCATTTCGGGCAGGGGAAGATTGGGAAGGAGTGATAGGGTAGGGGGTGCTGATTGACGGCTCCTCGGAAGAAACCACGAGGGCAGCAGCTGAGATGGCGGGTCTACAGAATATGGTGGAGAGTGGGAATCGAGACTTTGGGATGGTCAATTGAAGCATTTAACGAAGACGATCGAGAACCTCATAGAAGTGTGTATTATGGATGCTAATAAGAGTAACCCACAAATAAGTTCATTGGCAGAAACCACAAATACAAGTAAAGATGGAATCTTTTGATATCTTCGATTCACAAAGCAAGAGGATACGTAACCTGCGTTTCTCAGAAGTAACCTACGGGTGAGGGCTGGTTCTGGAAGTTTGAAGGCTAGCCCTAGGCGCGAATAATTTCCCAGGTACTTCAAAAACTTAAGGAGTACTAGAAAAACCAAGTAAACTAACACAGGCTATAGGCCTACAATTTTTTTAAAGAAACTAAACTTACAAGACCATCACTCTAGCAGACCCGCACAAATAGGTTGCAGTTCAGCGCTCGACCATGCTGCAGCTCCCTATTTCAAAAGCTCCTTTTCAGCCGCGGACTCTCGGACTCCTCACTCGAGTGTTGCCGACCTAAATTAAAATTCATTCACTTTGCACGACCAAAAAATAAATTATATTTCCATAGGACTAATTATGTGGGTCTTGGACAAATATACCCTTATATCTATTGGAATATTTTAATTCATAATAAAATAATAAAAATTCATAAGATATACCAAAAAATTAATAAAAATATTTTGAATAATAATAAATAATAAAAAATAAAAATTAATAATAAAAAAAATCAAAAACAAATTGTCACCGCCGCCCCAGCACCACCATCTCTAGTCATTTGTGGAAAAAATGCCAAATTTATTATGAATTCCATATTTTTGACATAATTCAGAATGATTTAAGATGGCAGAAAAAAAATGTTAGCATTGTCAAAGAGAAATATGTCATGTTTTTGGCATTTTCCGAAAAAAAATGGAAGTTTGTAGGAAATATGGCATTTTTTTAACGGTCGGAGGTGGTGGTGCAGGGAGGCGGTACCACCACCTCCTGTCACCGGGGTAAAAAAATGCCAAAAAAATTATGAATGCCATATTTTTGGCAAAAGTCAAAAGGATTCAAGTTGGCAGAATCAAAATGTTGGCATTCTCATAAAGAAATATGCCATTTTTGTGGAATTTAAAAAAAAATGACATTTTTTACACCGATGGAAGGTGGTGGTTCAGGGAGGTAGTACAGGCAGTGGGAAAGATATCCATATTTTTTTAAATTTTTTTTATGGAGTTTTACCATTTTTATTAATTTTCAAAAAAAATATTAAAAAAAATTCTTATTTTTTATTTTATAAAAATTTTATTAATTTTTTTTTATTTTTCTACGAATTATTGAAATTTTTTCGGATTTATTATGAATTAAACATTTAATTATGACTTTTAGTTATCTTTTACTAATATTTAAAGGAGATGTAAGAATAGAAGGAAGAAATGGGTATGTTTCCAATAGGACCACTATGGTCCTATTTTGGAATATAAAAACATAGCAAGTCCTATTTTGAGTTTTTGTCGTAGTTTTAGTCCTATTTGAGAGTTTTTTCCCGGAATAATGTTAAATAAATAAATAATTCCCAAAATACTGTTGGCTTAAGAATAATTCCCAAAATACTGCTGGGTTAACCACGATTAAAGTAAGCCGCCACTCGAAGTGGCGTCTCTTGTACTTCTGTACAAAAGCCGCCACTTCGAGTGGCGGCTCATTTATCAGCACTAAAACCCCCTTCTTCCCAATCGACGGAAACGACAGACGAACTCCAACCCCTCTGCAGCGACCGACGAAGGCTAACATCTCCTCGGATTCCGGCCAGATTTCGTCCAAACGAAGCTCAAATCAAAGGGAAAAGACTCGTCGTGTACCTGAGGTCGTTTGTACTCCATTCCTGCGAGTTGCTACAGCTTGAATAGAGGTATTCTACCATTTTTGCTAAACCTAGGTTTTTTTATTTTTTTGTTCGAAATTACTTGGTTTTTTAATTAGTTTCTTTGTATTTGATGTTGTGAAATGTATAAGTTCTTAATGTAGTTATTATTATGATTGACTTTATATGATTTGTTAAATGTGAATGATACCAACGTAACTTCCACCTATTTTTGCTAAAGCTAGGTTTTTTAGGTATTGCTCCAAATAGCTTGAAATTGTTATTGTTTTGTTGAAAATTGTTGTTGTTTTGCTTGAAGTTGTTGTTGTTTACAGGTTTATTAACAGATTTTGATTTTACTTTAACTAATTAAATAATGGTAATTAATCATGTGTTAATTTGTTGCCTTTTCATCAGTCCGCATTTTTAACCCGGTTAATTATTATGAGTCCTTATTTAATGGTATGAAATCGTAATATGTATCTACGATCTAATAATTTTTGTTTGAATTATAGTAATTGTATTTGAATTTTCAAATAGCGGCATATGTCATACTTTTTTTGGGATGATTTTTTCATAGAATATGTCTACAAACTTCTCCATTATTTGTCAATGGGGAGGAAATATTATCGAGGAGTCAAACGGAGTTCATTATGAAGGAGGGATTCGGAAGATAATTGTTGTTTCCCGTGGGGTGGCTCTTGCTGAAATAATGAATAAAATTTATGCTGCCACATCCATCAATCGTATGAACAAGCTGGATTTGAAGGTTAAATATCCCATGCATGGTGGATCATACATGTTGATGCCTCTTGCTGACGATGAAGCCGTTAGAGGAATGTGGACTGTAATCGAGAATCTTAATATGCATACCATGGAGATATATGTTGAAGAAGTGGCGGTGTTGCCCATACAACCCAGCCACCCGCCATTGTCTTGCCCATCCACAAGTGTTCCAGTTGTGATGAATATGGTTACACAGGAGAACGGAAGATACGTGAATAGTGATGCAACGTTTCTGGATTCACAGTACAATGATGATGATGCAGATGAAAATGCGAACAATGACACACTAACAGATTCAGATGAAGATGGTGGTGATCTCGTTAGTGGCAATGCACCATCCAGCCACTACACTAAAGTTTATGAGCTCCCTGCGGGATTTGATGAATCATGGAAGGGTGGTACAACTTCTAGTCGTTTCTCTGCAGACAGTGAATTTGAGGTTGGGCAAGAGTTTGATGATAAAAAACAACTGATCAACATGGTTAGAGCATACTCTGTAAAGAGGAACCAATTTTTCACAGTTGTAGAGTCTGACAAATACAAATGGGTGGCAGAGTGTAAGAGGAGAAAAGATTGTGGTTGTACTTGGCGGATCCGGGCTACTAAGAAACATGAGAGGCTAGATATGTTCAAAATTGTTCGTTATGCAGGTCCTCATATACCTACTTGTGTAGGTAACGTCGATAACAATGACCATGTTGGTATCACATCTCAGTTCATAGCCCATGAAATCATTGATCTTCTTCGTACCGATCCATCACTAAAAGTCTGCACTATTAGTCAGCTTATGAAGGAAAGGTACGGCTATATACCTTCGTATAAGCGAAGTTGGTTGGCTAAACAAAAAGCCATCGGTGAAATATTCGGAGATTGGGAGGCGTCGTATTCTGAATTGCCTCATTTCATGTTGGCATTACAACATTCCAATCCAGGGACAGTCGTGCATTGGTACCCACCTCTTTCAGGTACCAATGAGTTATTGATATCATTATTGTATCACATTATATTTAATTAGAAATTTGTCCTCTAAATTTTCTCCATCTTTCAGGTACCACTGAAATTCAGCAGTTTCAAAGAGTTTTTTGGGCATTTAAGCCATCCATTAAGGGCTTTAAACATTGTCGTCCCTTACTAACCATCGATGGAACACACTTATACGGGAAGTATAAAGGTACATTGTTGGTGGCAATGGGTAGTGATGCTAATAATCAACTGTTCCCTTTGGCGTTTGCTATCTGTGAATCGGAGAATGGAGAGAGTTGGCCGTGGTTTATGGCGTGCATACGTCATTTTATCACACGGAGAGAATTGTGTGTTATTTCAGATCGACATGCTGGAATTATGAAGGCTTTTATTGAGGTAGGTGGTGGATGGGAGGAGCCAGATGCACGACATAGGCTTTGCATACGACATGTCGCTTCTAATCTGCATACTCAATTTAAAGACATTCACTTGAAGAATCTGTTCATTTGGACAGCAAGTCAACGTCAAAAGAAAAAATTTGATGGTGGATTTAACAAGATAGGCGAAATGCAGGCACAAGCACGAGAATATCTAGCGAACATTGGTTTGGAGAAGTGGTCTTTACACCACGACGGGGGGTACAGGTATGGCACCACAACAACGAACATGGCTGAAGTATTCAATAGTGTCATGAAGAGTGCACGATACCTGCCTGTAACCGCGTTAGTTGAGTTATCATTTTATCGTGTGAATGCTTATTTTGTGGAAAGAAGAGAAACTAGTAAGAGAAGATTAGCAGAAGGGCATCGCTACTGCCAGCAAGTGACCGAACTGATAGAGAAAAATACGGAAAAGGCAAAGCATCACAAGGTCACAATATTTGACATAGGCCACGGTTTATACCAAGTGGAGACCGGTCGTGGTGGACGAACCGTGGGGAAGGGTGGCAGAAAACAAACGGTAAATTTGCACCGTCGCCATTGCACATGTCAGAAGCTGAATATTTATAAGATTCCTTGCTCACATATATTAGCGGTATGCAGACACCGTAGTTTGTCCTATGATGCTTTTGTTGATAAATTTTTTTCTTCATCGGAGTACGCGGCTTCCTATAAAAGAGTATTTAAGCCCATACCGGATATAGCATACCGACCAACTTACACTGGACCACGAGTTGTGCATGACCCATCAATGATTCGCGCTAAAGGTCGTCCGAAGGCTAAACGATTGAGAAATGAAATGGATGAAGGCCCTAAAGGTACTGTGAGATGCGGTAAATGCAAGCAAATAGGGCATAACAGGACGACATGTGCTAGAAGATCAGAGGGAAACGTAGGGAGTTCCACTGGGTAATGTTGTTCTTTTATTCGCAAATGCATTAGCAACATAAAAAAAATTTTAATTTAATAAAAAAATTAAGTAACTAATGCAACTATTACTTTTACAGCGCCGATGCAGGTGTCAGTGGATCCCGGACCGATTGATCCTTCAGTCCTGACATTGCAGGCCACGCACCGGAGCGAGGATGTGTGGCGTGGCCTGGATGTTCAGGTAGATAGGTGTCGTGAGCACCTACGCAGTATATTCCACATGGGGGTGGACGATAGGATTCTACATTATGTTCGTTTAGCTGGGTTTTATGGTGTTCACAGATTGGTTTCGACTCTGCATATAGATAGAGCATTACTTACCGCTCTACTTGAGCGTTGGAGACAGGAGACTCACACATTCCATTTACCGGTGGGTGAGGTCACGATCACATTAGGAGATGTGGCTGTATTGGCAGGTCTACCGATCGAGGGTCGGGCAGTTACTGGGACTGCATGTAGACTGTGGGTTGATTTGGTACACAGATTGTTGGGAGTACGGCCACACCCAGGGACAGATATTCGGGGGTCC